TAATAATTTTAATAATAAAAAATAAAAATATTTTAAAAAATACACTTATTTGTTTTTAAACATGTCCTTATTAGTCATTTAATGTTAAACAACAACCGCTAACTATTGTATAATCAAATAGTTATACTTATCGAATCTGCTATTTAACATTCGCTACCCACTTTCCGTTATCCGTCATTCGCTATCCGCTAACCGCCACCCGCTACCGCTATCCGCTATCCGCTATCAGCTACCCACTGAATTTTAACCGCTGTACCAAACAGGCCCTACATGTAGTAACACTGTAAAACCGTTTTTAAATGAAGCCTAATTTATTGTAATTTCTTAAAATAAAAAGATTACAATATCAACCAATAGAAACTGCATAATTCAAGGCCAACTTGTGAACACCAAATGAGTCGCATGCTTAATAGCCCTTAATATAAGTCGCATGCTTTTTATTATTTTATTTATTGATGTGTCACAACTATAAAATATAGCTAACTAAATAAAAAATTATTATAATTATAATATTATCTCACACTATAATTTAGAATATGATACATTATTATATAAAATTTTTTTTAATTTATTTATATAATATTATATATATTTATTTAATATTATATTATATTTTTTAATATCAAATATAATTATAAATTTATAATTTTATATGATATTATAAAGATAATAATTTAAAATTAAATAAGTATTCAAGAAGAAACACGTATTGGTGTTCGGTTTGACTATTTGGTTTTCTAAACTTGCTACGGTCGTAGTGGGACACTGGAGTGGTATTTAGCTCTCGAGGCAAAAATTAATTTCTTTTGTCGATATTTTTTAACATTTAAATTGAATTTTAATTAAATAAAATAATATATTTTAATATTAAAATTTTAATTATTTTTTAAAATTACAATTGATATATACATTTTTATTTATAATTTATAATTTATTTTAATAATAAAAAATTACGGAATTAACAATTCATTTAACTTTATAATCTAACTTGTAAACATCAAGTGAGTCGCATGCCTACTAGCCTTAATATAAGTCGCGTGCTTTTTATTATTTTATTTATTGTTATGCCACAAACTATAAAAAATAGTCAATTGTCCCGCACTCGGTGGCCAAATGGCCACCCCTTGCAAGGGACGTGCGTAGGACTACTTGAACTTGGGATCAAATCTCAAGTCCCCCATTCTCCCTTTCTCCAAGAAACAAAAAGATTTCACACTGTTCAAAAAAAAAAATAGTCAATTAAATAAAAAATTATTATGAATAGTCCGCTTCACTTTAATAATATGAATCTTAGGTTAAGATTATTTATCTTTTATAAGTGATGTGTTCGAGTCCATGAATTTTTTTTTTCAATTAATATATGTAAATAATTTTATATTGTTCAAAATAAATAAAAAATTATTATAATTATAATATTAAGTAATGTTATAAATTTATAATATAATATATTATTATATAATTATTTTTTAATGGTTTAATACCCTTTTTGGTTCCTCTACTATGGGAAAAGGCCCTTTTTTGGTCCTGTACCGAAAAAATCCTTTTTTTAGTCTTTACTGTTCACAAATTCGGCCCCTTTTTAGTCCTTCCGTTAAATTTCAGCTGATGTGGCAGGTTAATTAACGGAAATACCCATTCTTTTTTAACTAAATTACGTGGAAAATCCACGTGGTAAAAAATTGATGACATGTTAAATTTTTTATTTTTAATTACTGATATACCCTCACCTTCTTCCCCAGCTTCTCCTTCCTCCAGGTTTTTTTTTTTTTCCTTTTTTTCTTTTACCTTCAGGCGAACCCAAGAGCCTGGGTTCGCGAGGAACCCTTCCTTTTTCATTTAAAAATTAGTGAAGAAAGAGAAAAGCAAGTAAAATTGTCTGTGTCTAGGTTCATCCCCTGCAAGTCACAGTCATCCATCAAAAACACACACAGCTTATAAAACCCACCATTCTTGATTTTGTCCATACTTATCAAAAATCAACAAAACAAGCTCATTTTCCTAGAATCAGGGGTCGGGGTCCGAGTCAGGTTTGATTGAACCGGATGGCGGCAAGCTGGTGGAGCTCCTCGTGGAGGATTCGAAACGGAACATCAAGAAACGGGAGGCGTTGTCGCTTCCTAGAATCAGGTTGACGAAGAGCGACCTGCAATGGGTGCACGTACTGAGTGAGGGTTGGGCAAGCCTGCTCTGTAGATTCATGAGAGAATCCGAGTTCCTCCAACCTCTTGGCTATCGATTTTGGATCTGCAGCATCAAAATCGATCTCACCGTCCCTTTCCGATGGTGATCTCGACGGAGGAGGAGCCTGACGGCAGCAAAAAAAAAAAAAAATGTAAAAAAGATGCTCAAAGAGTGGGGAAAAGAATCAACCTCATGAGTCATGACTAAAGCAAGATCCTCGCCACCAGATCTATCTGGAACTTCTCTTCCCGCTGCCTCTCACCTTCAGACGATTTCCTAAAAAACCAAAAATCAATCAAGTGCAATTTCAGAACCGCCATCACCGGATTTAACCGGAGACTGTAAAAATAGAAGAAGAAGAAGAAGAAGAACTGCGATTGATATTCACGTCTTTGTCACGGTCAATTTCTCACGCTCATCATCCAATCTGAGCACAGTGGGAGGATTAGGAGGAGAAGGTGAAGATTCCTTCTTGGGTGATCGAGACTCATCTTTTTTGGAGAACCCAGGCTCTTGGGTTCGCCTGGAGGTAAAAGAAAAAAAAGAAAAAAAAAAAGGCTGGAGGAAGGAGAAGCCGGGAAGAAGATGAGGGTATATTAGTAATTAAAGGTAAAAAATTTAACATGTCATCTATTTTTTGTCACGTGGATTTTCCACGTAATTTAGTTAAAAAAAAATTGAGTGTTTCCGTTAATTAACCTGCCATATCAGTCAAAATTTAACGGAAGGACCGAAAAGGGGCCGGATTTGTGAACAGTAAGGATTAAAAAGGGGATTTTTTCGGTATAGGGACCAAAAAAGGGCTTTTTCCTATAGTAGAGGGACCAAAAAGGGTATT